GGAAATAATAATTATCGAAAGTTTCTGAATATAATGATTAGGCCTATCACACATTGAGATGTTTATTCTTTGGATATACAACAGAAGATACATAAATACTGTAAGCTATACAGTGGAAATAATAATTATATACACGAATTTCCGGATATTACAATTATATACATGGTTGGTTAGAAAGTGCACCTTCCAATTCGAGACCCGAATTGGAGGACAAACTGATTTAAAAATGTATGCAATGAAATGTAATTTGTGTTCTGATTGTAAAGCGTACTTTGTGGTACATTATCTTGAAGACATGTCAGATCTGTGCAAATTAATTCAAGTTTCTGAACATTTACATGAATTATAATTATTCCTGAGAAGGTCCAAAATGTTGCAAATGTTGTTATAAGTCAATTTCATATAGGCCTACTTGTAAAATATGGTATCCTTTACGAGGTTAGGCTCAGTCAATGAATCCAGTTGATAATTATTACTATCTACTATTGAATTGTACATATCTATATGTATAACAATATCAAATATATTTTGAACTACATGCCATATTACTGGGATAAAACTGTTGTAGCTTTTATGTACAACCAAATGGAATTAAATGAGTATTAGTTTAGTTTAAAAAAAAAACATTGCCAGGTCTTGACAACAGATGAAATCAAGTAAGTTGTTTTGAATAATCTTCACTAAATTGTTTTGCATGTTCCTCAAGTATTAAATGTGATGACTAACTCTAAAAGAAATGTGTGTTTTTTTACACAGGAACAGGCCTATCACTTCCGTGTTGCAATTGTTATAGGCCAAAATCTAACAATTAAATTGTATCTTATAATCAACAACATATTCTATCAATAACCACAAACGTAATGTCGGAGATTATTCGATATGCAGATTATAGGCCTATCACTTCCGTGTTGCAATTGTTATAGGCCAAAAGCTAACAATTAAATTGTATCTTATAATCAACAACATATTCTATCAATAACCACAAACGTAATGTCGGAGATTATTCGATATGCAGATTATAGCCATATAGTACAGAATACTCACCCTGGAGTCCACTCATTTACCCAAAATAATAATAGGAAATTAGATTTTTCTATTATATGTATATCATATTGACTTGAAAATTGTGTAACTTGACATATTACTATAGTATTTTTAAGAGAAGGTAATAAATGCAAGTTATGATGCTAAATATTGTTTAAAAAAATTAATGTTTAAGAAATGAGATAGAAAAATAATTCCAAGGGTATTCTTCATGATTGTATCTTTTTTTTTTAATGGTGTGAAGGAATGTATATAAATGTTCTGTACTATTATGACATAATAAATACATTTTTGGTAGAAAACGTTTTCGCCAATATAGCTGCCAGTATATTGGAAATATTAAGTAAGGAAATTGATCGCCACTTTTAAAGAAAAGCCGAGGATTATTATGGATACAGGTTAATATGCATAATTAAAGGAGCGCACAATATAGGTTCCAATATCATTGAAAAAAACTTTAAAACAATTCAATTTTATACCTATTTAATCCAGGTGATTTATTATTCTTGCTTGTCTTAAGGGAGGATAAATGTTCCGAGTATTTTAAAGGCTCTTCCAATAGAAATACTTTGGTCAATAGCAATTAGTATTGGAGCTTTAGTACTAAAATATCATAAATATCCTCATTACATACAAGTTGTTTATTATAAAGATTATAATAAAATTTGAAAACCTTTGAAAATGATTAAAAGAAAATTCTTGACCTTTGTTTTCATTATTATAAAGATTATTATATTTATTTTTGATCAGATAAAAATGGTATTAAAGTCATTAATATTATCAATGATATTATGTCGGTATGATACGTTACCTTGTGCTTGGTACATAAGAGAAAGACCTTAGATAACAATTAAGCAGACAAAAGGCAAAGGGCGTAATTCCAATGAAATTAAGAAAAAATATATATGTGTGTATATGTTAATTGGTATATA